ACCATTCCATGTTATGTTTACTGCTTTTACATCACCATGGCATTTGGTGGCACTACACTATATTGTCAAAAGTTGGTGGACACCCCCCGAACATCACATCTATATGAGCTTGTTGGACATCCCATTCCTAAACAATGAACATTACTATAGAGCAGGGGCAGACTGACCATTTGGAAACTCAGGCACTGCCTGAGGGCCTGGGGTCAGTAGGGGGCCCCATGAGATGCCTCTGGTATCTTTTTTCATACGGTTTTTGAGTTTGGGCAAGGACACAGGGGCCCCATGATCCCCTATTGCCCGGGGGCCCATGAGTTGTCAGTCCACCCCTGCTATAGAGCTACTCCCCTGTTTTGCAATACCTGACTTAATTGTTCTTGGAAGGCTTTCTGAAAAGATTTTGGAGTGAGTTTTGGGGAATCTGTGCCCATTCAACCAAAAGAGCATTTGTGAGGTCAGGTACTGATGTTGAATGAGAACACCTGGCTTAGAATCAGTTAATTCCTAAGGTGGTAAGCAGGGTTGAGGTCAGGACCCTATGCAAGATACTCGGGTTCCTCCACACCAAACTCATAAAACCATTTCTTCATTAGAGCTGGCTTTGTACACAGGGCCACAGCCATCCTAAATAGAAAAGAGCTTTCCTGACAGATTCCCTCACACAGGGGAAAGGAAGCTTTAGTGAGATTTCTGACTGGGAAATCTGGGCAAAGGATTGTCTAGACCAGAGGCCTTGCAGACCCTGATGCAAAAGTTGACTTATGGCCTTCATCACCAGCTGCCGCTTTCATTGTGCACTTGCCCCAACACTCTATGTTGGTGAAACCAAAAAGTCAGGGATTGGCCTGGGAGGGGCCTCTGCTCAGCTGATCTCTGAGTTTACTGAATTACCTACGCAGGGAGATGCGGCAAGTGCTTTTTCCCAGCCACACTGTGTAAAACAGGGTAGGAAGCCTTTGAAAATTGGAGATCTATCTGAACAATATGACAGAGTTCAAAGGTCACTGAGGTTTGGTGCCCTTTTTTTTTCTTTTATGAAATTAATTAGCAAGGCCTAACTAAATAGTATGGGAAACATAATAAAATATAATAAAACAAAAATGTCACTGTAAAAATATAAACTTAGCCTACCTTAAAAAGTGGACAGTGTCAATAGAGGAGTGGACATTGTCAGTAGGGCAGTTGACAGTCTGTAGGCAGTGTCAGCAGGGCAGTGGATGGGGTGTGGACAGTGTCAGTATGGCAATGGATGGTATCAATAGGGCAGAGATTGGGGTCAGTATGGCAGAGGTTAGTGTAAGCAGGGTAGAGGTTGGTATCAGTGGAGAAGGGGACGGTGTAAGTAGAGCAGTTGGGCGGTGTCAGTAGAGCAGTGGGAGGTGTCAGATGGTGTCAGTAGGGCAGTGGATGCTAACAGTGGAGTAGTGGATGATGTCAGTAGAGAAGTGGATGATGTCAGTAGAGCAGTGGGGCAGTGTCAATAGAGCAGTGGGAGGTGTCAGTGGAGCAGTGTGAGGTGTCAGTAGGGCAGTGAATGGTATTAGTGGAGCAGTGGATGGTGTCAGTAGAGCATTGGGCGGTGTCATTAGAGCAGTAGGAGGTGTCAGAAGAGCAGTGGGAGGTGACAGTAGAGCAGAGGTTGGTGTCAGTACGGCAGAGGTTAGTGTCAGCAGGGCAGAGGATGGGTGTTAGTAGGGCAGTGGATGGTATCAGTGGAGCGGGGGATGGTGTCAGAGCAGTGAGAGATGTCAGTAGAGAAGAGGATGGTGTCAGTAGGGCAGAGGATGTGTTAGTAATTTTTAATTTTTTGTTTATTTTTTTAAATTTTAGCAGCTTTTAGCAGCCCTGTTGGGGAGCTTTGTTGAAATATCAGGAGTCCAAGCAGATTCCTCTCGTCTCACTTTTGCGAAAGATAAAGGGGCTGATGTCATAGATTCATCAGTCATTTCTCTCTGCAGCATCAGCTGCACAGTGAATGAATGGGAAGTGCTCTGTGCTGAACAACTTCTTATTCATTCACAAACTGAAGCATAGTAAACATAGTTTACTATGCTTCAGTTATGAATGAACACAGTGAGTTATTGGCTCACTGTGTTCATTCAGAAAAGGAAGAGGCAGGTAAATGACATATTTACCAGCCCTTTCCACTGCTCTCCATCCTGACAAATCCCCCATAGCAGCCAGTGAGAACAGAGGGGGAGGCGTCAGTGCTGAGGGGGCAGAGTGGGACCAGGGGGTGCACAGGGGAGGCCCGGGCAGCAAGAGAAACAGGGACAGGAAGGGAAGGAGGTGGGAGGGGGAGGAGGAGAAGCGGGCTTTCAGCTGCTGATGGAAAATACAGCTAATTGAGTCTAATAAATGCTGCCCCCCACCACCCCCTTCTATCCAGATGAGACAGGGAGCCACACTGGCTCCCTGGAGGATGGGCAGGGTTGCCATTGCGGCCCCTATTACTATGCCCATGGTCTAGACATCAACAGCCAGTGCATATTTTGACTGACCAATGACCACGTACAAAAATAAAATATTTTGGGTGCACTGAGTCTTTAGCTTAGTTACAAATGACTACCAGAAATATATATACCAAATAACTTGAAATAAGCAGAAAGTAGACATTTACTGAATGTCCAATATTGTTCTTTATAATATGTATTTTAACTAAAATACAGTACATCAGATTTGCAAAGTGGAAAGAGCAATCTTACCCAATACAAAGCTTTATATTAGTGATACTACAGCCAAAATATTTTATTTTGGTTAGAATGGGGAAGGGTTAAATCCTCTGTCAGGTAGTATTCATTGCTTAGGAAAGTAGGCTTATAGTACTGGAACTCTGAAGTTGTGATCCAAAGTATGGCAGTGATATAAATATTGGGTTGGCAGCATCTACACTGAAGGATTTAGATGACCATCTTAAATCAAAACTACAATGCACCTGAGCACCACAAAGCAAAAATGATATTTAATTCATTATTAATTGTCAGAGCATACCCCACCATCCATTTATGTCCCCATTATGTCACAAACTAATAGGGTCAGTCCACTGAAAAATAAAATTCTATTCAACATACCCCACAACCATGTCATATCAAAAATTACTTTCCCGGGATTGCTCTAATGAAGGCCATGCCCTGAATCTGAGAAAGTGATCTCCTTCTGAATGCTGCCTGCAAAGTTCCAGTGTGAATGTAATCAGTACAAGCAGAAGCAGCAGTAGTGTCCGCTCAGGTAAACAACCCATTGAGCTCTGTTCTAGGGATTTTTCACATGGATCGCCAATGTTGGGACGATTCTTCCACTGACATCAATGCTAAGATGTGTCTCCATCTACTGACCACTGACATTGGGGCATTTCTTTCTCCCAGTGACCACTGGGGCATTCAAGACTCCCACTGATGCCAGGCCATTCTTTCTCCTACTGGCCACTGAGATTGGGGCATTCCTTCCTCCCAGTGACCACTTGGGCATTCTTTCCTCCCACTGATACCAGGGTATTTTTCCTTCTATTGACCCCCGACATTTGGGCTTTCATTCCTCCCACTGATCACTGAGGTGTCCCCCCCCCCAATGACCATCGACATTGGGGTATTCTTACCTCCTTCTACCCTCTGACACTAGAGGATTCTACTGACCACCAGTTTTTGGAGCAATCTTTCCTTCCACTGACCACTGACGTTGGGACATTGTTTCTCCTACTAATAGACTACAATGCATACTTTCCTCCCACTGATGCTGGGACATACTTCCTCCTACTGACCACCAGGGCCAGGACATTTTTTTTTACTGACTTTCAACACCAGGGGAGCTCTTCCTACTACTGGCCAGAAGGATAAAGGTTACTATGTTACATACTCCTGATCACTGCACCCTGAATGCTGTGCTGTACATTATATAGCCCTGACCCCTACACTCAATGACATACTCCAGAAGCTGGGTTGTACAATATATAGTCCTGACTATGGTGTTTATTGTTTTAACAGAAGCTGGTTGTTCAGCAGCTTCCAACTGTTAGTTCTCTCTCTATAATCTGTTTGCAGAAAGGTGTATGAGTGGAAGAGGTCCATTTTTAAAAAGTGATCCTTTGAACTGAGGTCTATGTCTGTCTGTTTGACGTTCACTTGTGGACCAGTAATCCTCTTTTTTACCTTCAATTGGTGATCCTGCCACTAACACACATCCTTGTCCCAGGATGACAATACTCCCTTACTTTAATAAATGTGTGGAGGAATGTCTTTGTCATCCTAGCCACCTCTTCCTGATTTGGACTACAGAACACCCCAATGTCTATTACATCCAACTGCCCATTGAGGAGCACGAGCAGCTCTGTAGCGGAGGGGACACAGAGCTGTCATCTGTTTGCTCAGCGGGGATCAGCGGAGAGATCCTCCGCTGAGCAAGCAGATCCGCTAAACAGGCCCGCTCTGTGTGAAAGGACCCTAAGTGTATAACTAAAGCCGGTCATACATGAGTTGAATTCCAAAAGAATTTTCTTTTTGTTCTAATTTCGTACCATTAGTGGGCCACATCAATGGCCGAATTTCGAGCAACCACTAAATTTGAGTGATCGGACATGTTGGAAAGTTTTTGAAAAACAAAAGAATTTCTAACCAATGATGGAAGAATCATGCGAGAAATGTAACTGAAAAATAAATGAGCATGAGCTTCGACCTGGAAAGAAAAGAAAATTCTTAGCTTCGAAAATTATTTTCTGTAGCAACACGAGGTGAAAGGCTTGGTTAGTCAAATTTCGAAATCAATGGTGGCACCATCGGATTACAAAATGAACGAAATTTCATATTTTCTAAAGAACATTTGTTTGGAATTCGACCCATGTATTGCCTGCATAACTTTCTAGCACCAAAAGTAAAAATATCCATTTAGGTGGACTGACCCTTTAAAGATTAGACATTCTATACTGAATAACTGTGTTTGTGTGTGATTGTGATTTGTAGGCACTGATGTCCACTGCTGTACATTCATTTCTGATAATGACACAATGGAAATCAAATGATATTGTACAGCTCCTCCTTTTCTTCTTTATAGAGGACACACAGGAAGCACGCACTCATAGTTACACCAATGAGCTGGAAAGCAGAAAATGTAATATAATTATTATTCACATTGACTAGTCAGTATTAAAATACATTAGAGTCCATAAGCAAAACAGGAGTATACTAATAAAATAAGTCAAATCAGTAATCATATTAAAAATGACTAATAATTAAAACTGAACTTCAGGAAAATATAAAAAAACACATTTATGTGGTTTAAAGGCTTAAGGACTTTTACCTTATTGCATTCTATGCATTAAAAACATTCTGTGCTGCAGGATACTAACTGCCCCCACCCCTTAACTTACCTGATCCTGATCTTGATCCAGTGCTGTGCCTGAGAGCAGTGGCTCTCTCCACTTTCCTCCTCATTGGTTCAGAGACTTTTTTTTTCATTTTGGATAGAGTAAGAAAGAGTTATAACCATTGTCAGTTTTTTTTTGCCATCTGTATCCCATTAGGGATATTTACCTTCACTTCCTGTCCCATAGCCTAAGTGAGAGGAAAGCCCTGCAAATTAAGGGAATCCCTTGGGGCCTCCCAGGTCACCAGAGCTAGTGTCCCCATTGGAAAATTTCCCATTTATTATTTTTCTGGGGACAAACCAAAATTTGGGATTTTCTATTACTTTCTCTTTCAATGATAACGGTAAACATGACAACTAGAGAGGGTGAATCTCCCTAACGGGGTACAGACAGAAATAAAATCTTGATAGGTGTTATAATCTATCTCCACTCTATCCAAAATGAAAACAAATTTAGCTTTTAGTTATACTTTAATTTAGAGTATGTACACTTGGTTATATGGCTTCTTTTCCAGTAGGAGGCGCTGTTGTCATTCAATTCATTTTAACTTTAGTCTAGTTTTAAATGATTACAATTCTCAATTCCATTTCTGATTTACGAAGCAGTTAAAGATGAAAAAAAGTAACCTGAAAATCATTTTACCAAAATGTTACTTTCTGCAATAACTGAATGAATCATTCAAATTTTACTGTAACACATTTGGTTTAGAACTGATATGACTCTGCTGTGTGACCAGGAAAGCCCCCGTTTCTCAGTACCTGTATATTGTACTTCCAGTTTAGTTTTAGGCTCCACTGGGGAATACAGTCATTATTTGAGGTAACGCTGAGCGATTGCAGGATTCTGCTACAGGTTTTTTTTTTTATTCATCTTTATCCTTTCTAAAGTCACCAGTAAAATGTCCACCAGTATCTTCTAATCAGAATTCCAGTTTCTCCTTTTTCCCTCTCCAAAATCCTTATACTGCAGATCCTTTATTGCTAGACCTGATATGACAGCAATATTGCAGAGCAGCAAGAATATGGTGTCCAAATGAGTTTAAAGATGAACTCCAAGGCAGATATAAAAGACACAGCTTATGGCCCCTTTCACACAGGCGTTTCGTATGTCTGTTTTTCATATGTCCGTTTACGGATGAAAAATGAACCCCCATGTATTTCTATAGACTTGTGGATGTAAACAGATGAACATCTTTTTATATCTCTTAATGTCCGCATCTGTTAACATCCGTTTTTTTTTTTAACAGAAGAAAACCCTATTTTTCATCCGCACAAAAACCTGGAACAGACGAAAAACGGATGTCAACGGATGTAAACGGACCAAAAACAGATGTAAACAGATGAAAACGGATGTAAATGGATAAAAAACGGATGTGATTGGATCTAAACGGATGAGTAATCGATGTAAACTAATGTAAACTGATCAAAAATGGATGTAAATGGATGAAAAGTGATGTAAACGGATGAAAAACAGATGTGATTGGATCTAAACGGATGAAAAAGGATGTAAACAGATGAAAAACGGATGAAAAAAAGATGAAAAAAACAGATGTAAACGGATGAAAAAATGGATGTAAACTCATCCGTTTTTTCTTTTAAAAAATGTGAGTGAACTGAAGAAAAAAAAAAAAGAACGCTCGTGTAAAAGGACCCTGTGGCAGCTGTGTAACTATTAATACAGCATTCAGGGCTGCTGTTAGCCCCATACAGCCAACCTGACCTCAAATGAACACAGTTTGCTATGCTGCAGTTATGAATGAACACAGTGAGTGATCACTGCCAATCTCTCATTGTGTTCATTCAGGTAAGGAAGGGGCTGGTGAATGTGACATATTTACAGGACCCTTCCATCCTGAAAGATCCTATTGTGTGCTTACAGTTGCTGGTGGGAAGGAGAGGAGGGTAGCTGGCAGCTCTGTGGGTGTAGGGGGGGTAGACAGAGGAAAATGTATGGTGCACAGGGAGGGTGATTGGTGCGCCGAGGTGGGACAATTACTAGAACCATTCCCTTGTATAGCTCTCTCTGCAGCAGCTGAAAGCCAGTGGGAGAGAGCCATACAGGGGATTGGCTCCAGTATTTGCTCCCCCACTGTGCCGATCACCCTCCCTGCCTACATCTGATTCACCCAGCTGCCTGGGCCCCCCTGCTGGCTTGGGCCCTGTACAGGAGGTCCAATGGTACCCCCTTATCTACGGATCTGACAGCATTAAATGTATTTTCTAATTCAAGCAGTGTAAATACCAAAGTTTGACCTGGTATCAGCCTCTTGCAGTCTCTGTACAGCGGGGCTGGAGTGTGGGACCAAGAAGCAGTACAAGGAACCAACTGGTTCATGTGCTGTCAAAAATAATGCTGATAGAAGCAGAAATCAGTGTGGCAGAGAGATGAGCTCATCACCGTGCTGCTTCTCTTTTCACTGTTCAGTCACAAGCTGGGGACGGGATGACCGAGGTTCAGAGGAAGTAGGTTGAATGATGCTGGCCATCAGACTGAGGACATCTAACTGCAAAAAGTACTGTGGGGGAACTTTCTGGATTGAAGGTGAATATTGCAGCAAAAGCTGGTTGCAGTGCCAGGGCAAGGTCATCTTTCTCCTCCTATCAGCATGCTTCTTGTCAGCTCATGAACTGATTGGTTCCTTGTGCTGCTTCTTCTTCTCACACTCCAGCCTTGCTGTACAGGGACTGCATGAGCTTGATACAGGGGCGGACTGACAACACATGGGGCCCCTGGGCAATAGTGTTTTCTTTGCCCACACTCAAAGCACACCCATAAAAACCTATAAAAAGGTACTAGGGGCATTTCATGGGGCCCCCTACTGACCCCGGGCCCTCAGGCAATGCCCGAGTGCTTAAATGGTCAGTCCGCCCCTGGCCTGATACCAGGTTAAATTCAAGAGCTGCATTCACTTGTGTCTTTTATGTCAGCCTAGTGCTCAGCTTATAGCACATGGGCTGCTGGAAAGATACAGAGGCCTGTGCATTATGCAGTGGCAGGGTCACTTTAAGTGCCCAGTCATACCGGTGCGATTTCAGGTGTGATTTGCTTATTGAAATTGCACCTCAAATCGCATCTAATGAATGTGAATATCAGTGTTTTAACGTGTGATTTGCTGCAGCGTGGTTTCTAAAGAGGTTCTTGCATTACTTTTCCTGCAGTTTTGTTGCAATGTCACATACATAGAATGTAAGGGAAATTGCACTGCAAGTTGTAAAACATTGTTGAAAATCTATACAAGTAGCAATTTTAAATCGCAGCATGTGACCGGTGACTAAGTGCTTCTATATTAACATACCAGACAACCAGGCTCGCATTTTTCCCTATACCCTCTCATAAGTTTCTCTTTCAATTTTAGTAAACATAGGAGGAGATTATACCTGGAAACAAGCAATGCCTATGGAGATTGCTCCTATCAACAGCAGATGTTCCTGGATAAACTTTTCCAGTCTTGTCATACATCCTCCCTGAATATACAAAGAAAACATACAGATAATTGCAAATATTGAAAGATCACCTGTCAACTTTACACAGCTTCCCCAAACAAAATTATTTCAAAAGACCAACTATAAATAGTAGTATTATATTTAATGTGCCCTGTGGATTTTTAGTATCATAAAGAAGAACTTAAAGGCTGACCTTTTGGTTGAAATCAATAAAATAGGTGCATAAAAAATGCATAACATCTTAAAGCAACCACAGCCAAGGTAGATAAGCCTGTCCCCTGCCAGCATTCTTCAGAGAAAAGATTATGATTCCTGCTGATTGGAGAGCTCTGGGTTAAGACTACTGCAATGGGAGCGCTGCTTCATCAGAGAGCAAGGGTCCTTCTCTGCAGCATGATGGTAGGGGAAACACTTTTCTACTCAGGCTGTGGCTGCTTTGTGAAGAAATGAACTGTAAGACCTTGCACACTTTTTGTTATGCACCTGGAATATATGGAGTTACTTTGAACTGAAAGTTAAAGTTGAAATCAAGTCAAAGCCTAAAGCTAAGCTTAAATCTACTCCCACACCCATTCTCAGCCTATTATATGCACCCTGTAAAAAAAAAAAGATGTCTATACTCACCTATTCTGAACTTGCTCTGGTCCAGTCACATGATCTTTCCAGCATCAGTGTACAGGAGAGATATCCAACAATGGTTGTAGAGTCTGGGTGATGATGTCACCCATAGGCTTACTATTGGGAAGCCGTTGTTGGCTGTCACTCCTCTACACTGAAGCCGGTGCTGGGACTCAGTCATGTGACTGGACCAGAGCAACTTCAGAATAGCTAAGTATAGGCATCTTTCTACACTGTATTGCTCAGCCAGCACAGTATGGGAGCTGTTATTTTTTCCCTAGCAGTATTTTTTCATGGGAGCAGTATTTTTTTTTTCCTAGTTCAGGTCTATTCAGCTGTGACACACACAGGGTCAAAAATTCCAACTGCTCTACATGTATCCAGCAAGTGTGACATTACATGGTCATCACTCTATGTGCCCAAGAATAGTGCTGCGCTGCCCCCTAGCGATCCAAGTAAATACACTAATAATAAATAAACACCCTCCTGAGCATCAAACCCAATGTGTAAAGGAATAAATCTACGAAACAAATAAAGTCAATAGTAAATAAAAAAACAAAAACTGGCTGAGGCACTAAATCCAAATGATATGTGACACATATATCAAAAATAAACCAAAATCAAGTAGCAATAAACACCTGTCCAGCCTATAATAAACACCTGGTTGAGCTGAAGAATAAAGTGTAAAAATCAACAAAAACAGTGAAATGTATATCAGAAATAAAACACAATCACAATAGCAGTAAACACCTGGCCGAGCTGTAATAAACACCCGGCTGACCTAACGCATAAAGTGTGACAATCAACAAACACAGTATTAAATGATTGCAAAACAAATGCCCGGCTGAACAATCAGCCCCTCAGTGGAATAACTATATAATGAATCAAATAAATGTTCAACTGGGCTAGATATTCACAAAAAGTGCGTATTAAAAAAATTAAATTGGCAGAATATACAAAAAACAGGTAAATGGTGAATGATAGCTAACACTTAATAAAGTGCAAAATGCAGTCCAAAAGTGGTATAACAGTCTCTTTCTTCCAACATTTAAAGTAATACACCAGTGACTTCAACAGGTGTGCAAGTCTATCGTGCTCCTCCACCTTCAGGCATGCACTCTCACCTTAACAGCTGATCCATAGAAAATATAGGTCAACATGCACTCAATATTAATCCCACTGGATCCTCTGCTTCCACAGGTCTCTCCAGGAACTCTCAGGAACAATCCTTTATGTCCCCACTCTGATAGATAGGTACTCAAAACATAAGGAACAAGGCTTTATTACCATAAAAATGTATAAAAAATACCACTCACATAGATGAAAGGTTCACAAGACCTATTCAGGGATAGAATAGATTGCCTATCCCTGAAGAAGCTACGTGACTCATGGCGTAACGCGTAGGACGGACGGAAGCTTGTGACGTCTTTTCTGGTGCGTGCAGGAGCCGCCATCTCTGTTTACCCTGTTTGTCCCTTAAATGCTTGCAATAGGTTCTGTGAACCTTGTATCTATGTGAGTGGCATTTTAAATACATTTTTATGATAATAAAGCCTTACTACACTATGAGGTGTTCCTTATCCTTTGAGCACCTATCCATTGGAGTGGGGATGTAAAGGATTGTTCCTGAGAGTGCCTGGAGAGACCTGTGGAGGCAGAGGATCCAGTGGGATTAATATTGAGTGCATGCTGATATATATATATATATATACAGTATATATATATATTTTTTTTAAAATATGCACTTTTTGTGAATATCTGGCGCAGTTCAACATTTACTTGATTCATCACATACTTATTCCACCCGGGGTGGGGGGGGGGGTTGATTGCTCACCTTCAACTGGGCATTTGTTTTACAATCATTTAATACTGTTTTTGTTGTTTTTCACACTTTATGCTTTAGGTCAGCTCGGTGTTTATTACAGCTCGGCCAGGTGTTACTGCTATTGTGATTGTGTTTTTTATTTCTGATATACGTTTCACATATTTCACTGTTTTTGTTGCTTTTTAAACTTTCTTTTTCAGCTCAGCCGGGAGTTTATTATAGCCTGGCCAGGTGTTTATTGCTACTTGATTTTAGTTTCTTTTTGATATATGTTTCACATATCATTTGGATTTAGTGGCTCAGCCAGTTTTTTTATTTACTATTGACTTTATTTGTTTCACAGATGTATTCTTTTACACATTGGGTTTGATGCTCAGGGGGGGTGTTTATTTATTATTAGTGTATTTTCTTGGATTGCTAGGGGGCAGCGCAACACTATTCTTGGGGAGTTTTATTGATGTGGGAACCCATTTAGGTGCTTGCAGCAGCTTATCATTTATTTGTGGCAGCGCATGAGTATTATATCCTTATTCATCACTCTATCTGTTACAAGTGACTGGATCTGGAATCAGTCCACTGTCAATGGATGTGCTCATACCTCTGCAGACACCTTCTGTTTCAGGCCAATGATTTAAAGAGAATTGAATTAAGAGTATCAGTATGACAGCCAGGCAACTAACATTATCTAAAGGAGATTACTAATGGGTGTCCAATTTTTTTCAGCAACTCTCCTTAAATATGCAAGCAGCCCTTAGCAGATTTCATATTTATTACTACAGTCAGTAAATACAAGAGTCCAAGTCCATGACCCTAGGGAGAGTATGTTCTTGGCAATGACCTATTCCTGCAGATGTCTATGGTTGTAGAGGATGGATACTATTCTCCTTACCTCCACTCTGTATATATTAGAAGGATGGTCTCGTCTCCCGCACTCTGCAGTCATCGTTTTACAGCAGCTATCTGGGACGATGTTTCCGCTGTTATTGGCTGTAATTACATATAAGCTGTACCTCCAGTCTTCATAACTGTTGCTGCCGCAACACCTAAACTGAGGCACACAGGACAGAAGAGACAAGTTCAGTACTAACTCAACGCAGAAAAAGACCTGTTTTGGTCTTACTCGATATGCTCCCAGCTCAGCTGTGGATTGGACCTGTTTACCTGGAAGTTAATAAAGTGATTGTAAAGCTTTAATTTTTTTTATCAACTAATAAACATGTCATACTTACCTGCTCTGTGCAATGGTCTTGCACAGAGCACCCCCAATCCTCTGCTTATAGGGTCCCCCGTCTGCGCTCTTGGCTCCTCCTCTTCGGCAAGTGTCCCCATAGAAAGCCGCTTTCTATAACGGCACTCATGAAGGCTTGATCCCAAGCCTTATTGCCTGTGTCTATAGACACAGACAGCGCAAGTTGGCAGCCCGCCCTCTGCTTCCTCTTCATAGAATTTGATTGACAGCAGTGGGAGCCAATGGCTCTAACTGCTCTCAATTTGGCTAGTGATTAGGGAGAAAGCGGAGAGAGCCACCGCTCTCAGGCACAGTACGACTGTGGATGCAAGTGTGGAAAATGCATGTTGCCTGGCTGTGCAGAGCTTGGGGGACCTGGAAGCACAGCTCCCCCTAAACATGCCAATTAGCTGCAGCCAGTCTGTGTACATCCAAGGTTGGTTGTAGGCTCTATTTACATGTAACTGCTCAGATAAATGGCTACATGCGAACATTGGTGGCACCGGCCAAAGATTTGTGCAGAGTACAGATCTGACAACTGCTGCAAATGGCTGCAGCCGTTCACACACAGTGTATATTGTATAAGCAGCATTTACAGTTGCCAGCAGGAATCTACAGATTCTTGCCGGCAGCTACCTCTGGCTGCTAATATTTGTCCATCTGAATGTAGAGTAAGAAAAATGCTCCCACCCAGGACTACAGCCTGGCATGTCCATGTTCCATGTGCCCCCCATGCACAGGCAGCGCAGAAGCTCAGAATGCAAGCCACTCTCCAGCTCCTCTTCACCAGGCTGATTAACAATTGGTTATAGAAATGATATACAGGATATTGTAAATGACAGGATAATACCTGGTAAAATGGGCATTACACCTATGTCATTTATTGTTTTTAGGGTGCTTTGTGGATACAAGATACAAGAAGATTGGCCATGTGACTTTTGGAGATCTGTACTGTGCTCACTCCCTTCCCAGAAATTCAAGAAAGTGGCGCTGAGTGAGTGGCAGGAGCAAGTAGCTTTTAGAAGAACGTTTTGTGAGTTATTATTATTATTATTATTATTATTACAGGTACTTATATAGCGCCATCAATTTACACAGCGCTTTACATATATATTGTACATTCACATCAGCCCCTAACCCTCAAGCAGCGTACAATCTAAGGTCCCTAACTTACATTCACACATACACATACTAGGGCCAATTTAGACAGGATCTAACTAACCTACCAGCATGTCTTTGGCTTTTATGAGGAAACCGGAGTACCCGGAGGAAACCCACGCAGGCACAGGGAGTTAATAAAGTTAAAACATATTTTATCTTAATGCATTTCCTTCATTAAAGTAAAAAAATTCCCACTACCTGCCCTGCCCAATGCCTCTAAACATTTACCTCTTTAAAATCTAGGATCTCTGGCTGCAGAAACATTGTTTTGTCTTCCTGGTCTAACATAGTAGATGCAGGCAGCAAGAGCCATAGTTTCCTGCTGCTGTCAGTCAAGCCTTGTAAGGAGGGGCCAGTGCCAACCGCACTGTGTGTGTCTATGGACGCACACAGACCAGCTCATGAGCATGCTCCCATGAGTGCCCTCTTAGCAGCTGGTTTGCTGATGGTGACTTAAAGGGGAGGAGGAGGGGACATTGTTGGCCGGGCAACTCCACAAGAGGAGGTAAGAGACCGCTCTGTGTAATATTGTTGTACAAAGCAGGTAAGCATAACATCTTTTTATTTAAACTATCTTAAAAAACTTGGTCTTTAATATCACTTTAAGGGTGTAATAAAAAATAAAAAACTGTGCAGGTTTATACGGCAGATATAAATACTTCAGTGAAAACACAGAAGGGTTTAAAACTCCTTTCAGATACCAAAACAAAATCATGGACCAGCAGAGATGCCACAAGTATATGCATTAAAACCTCAGCTTATAAAAATGAATTGTGAAAGTACCATAAAATTGTCTTCTGAAATCAGGTCACATGATGATGAGCCGCTGCTCCGAGCTCCGAGTATACCATTGCTTACGGTTGTAACAAATGAGGACTGTAAACTTCTGACACTGAAAGGCTGGCTGTGTTTAAAAGCTGGACTCCAGGCAAATAGCTAAATACAGAAATGAAATGCATATATGGGAGCTAAAGGATTTGTATTTCTGTCCATCCAGTCATGCAGCTAAAAAATATTTTCTTCCCTATAGCTTTAGTTACATTACTTATTTGTAATGCAGTGTGTCCCATGATTGCTGGATTCTGTAGAAATCTTCACTGCAGGGATGCCCTGTCCTCTTCCTGCTGCTGAGCTTCTGGTGCTGTAGGGGGGTTAACAGCTTTGGTTCACTGGGCTCAGTAGAACTAAAAAATGACCTGACAGGGGAACCCCCCCCCTTTCTTTACTGAAAAAAGTTCTTTCACTTATTACACTGCCTGTACCACAATCAGTGAATGGGGGGGAGGGGGGGAGTCTGATCAGTCACAGGATCCCCCCCCTCATTCACAGATTGTGTAACAGGCAGTGTAATCAGTAAATAACTTTTCCCAGTGGTGGCGAGGTCAGGACTGGGTGAGCCCCTATTGGATCATTTTTAGTGCAGCTGAGTCTGGAGATGGGATGCTGTTAACCCCCACAGCGCGAGAAGCTCAGAAGCAGGAAGAAGACAGGGTAGTCCTGCAGTGAAGATTTCTACAGAATCTGGCAGCGTGCACATCCTGGGACATACTTTTTTACAGAGAAGTACTGTAACTGATCAGTTTCCATGTCATGGTAATGTAATGCCACCAGACATACTCTACAGTGGCCGGCACTCCTTCCCTTCAGTTGATGTCTTGGAGATTTTCACAGCCGCAAGCGCAGCCATCCTCATTCAGCAGCCTGAAGCCAGCAGCCTGCCCTTACTGCTTATGATGATACAAGTCTACATCTCTAGTGTCTTTTGGACCGATCAAGCACATTACTGGTCACCAGCTCTGCAGCAGCGCATAGAGGTGCTGGACTACCGACTCCCTTTCACCTGTCAGCTGCACAACAGGCCTACACACGCAAAACACCAATCAGGATGCAGAGAACATATTTTATCAGGATACACACTTCATTGATGTGCTTGTGCAATCCCTACCAAATATGTGATGATTTTGCTTTTTATTTCAGTTACAATAAAAGCTTTAACTGCCTTAGGCTCCATGTACACGGGACACTTCTGAACGATGGAAACTGACTTCTGGAGAACGTAGGTTAAAAACCGTCTATTTAGCCGCGTTTGCATACCGCGTTTCTGCACGTTTGCATTTAGAAACTGTTTTAAAAGATAACCTCAGGAGACCTTACAAAATGCCCAGAATGCACTGAAAAACAGTAAAAAATTAACTATTTCAGACATTTTGGGAGAAATAGAGAGAGCAGAAGCAGAGAGAGCAGTATGTGTTGAGATTAGCTGTTTTTTTTGTGGTGTTTGGATGTGTTCCAGCTCATTTCTGTGCAGAATTTATTGCAGCAGTGTCTAACATTTTATTTCATGCGAAGCCTCAAAGTATGGTGTACTAGGTCCATTTGAGTACCAGCAAAATGCTTTGCATGCATTTTTCATGATAAAAAAAGGCTCTGGACAGCATCTGGAAATGGAAGAGTTAAAAACATTTTCCAAACGCAACACTTACAAACGCGTTTAGCAGCGTTTACCCGCGTTTACAAGTGTTTGGCGTTGGAGACGCTGAGAAAATCTACTCCTGAACGCAAGTTTGGTGAGTTAAAAAAAAGACTGTAAACTCAACTGCCTGTAAACGACTGTAAATGACATAGTGTACATGGACACATAGGAGAACATTACGGAGAGTTCAGGGGCTGCTGAAAAAAAAACATAGAAAAGCTCCTAAAAACGTGAGTTTATCAGCTGCAGTGTACATGGAGCCTTAGAGTTGCGTTTCCTATTTGTTTTTCTATCACCTTTGTTACTTTGTAAGTTATCTCAGTACAACAATATAAGCAGAAAAAAACACTTACGTCCTGTTGCAGATGGTCTATGGCATACGTGACATCGTTCATCCCCGGCTGTGCATAATTATTTATAATTGTCTCGTTAAGACTCTCTTTTAATTCTTCGCTTATCTGTACAATGGAGAGAAATCTGATGATATAACATGGAGCAGTTGTCGATGACGTTAAAGCAGTGCAAGGGGCAGACACTGTCTAAGGGCAGTAAAGCATAATAGATCATGAGATTTCCAGCCTTAGTGTATTCTTAAAGTGGAATTCTATTTCAGCTGTAAAGTGAACCTGTGCCAAGATCATCCAGTAGTATTTACAGTATTTCTGAACTAGCAGTAAAAGCAATTTAAAATAAGGTCTAATTCATCTCTGTATCTATAAGCATTGTGGAGAACATTAAAGTAGAATTCCAGCTTATACCTAACTAGCCTTAAAACTCTCCCTTTCCCCTCTTAAAACCTATGCTAACTAACCTGTGCAAGAAAGATCTGGTTTTTCTTTGTCAGCCAGTACGACTTCAGGAGTCAGCGCCATCATTGGGCCATGGATGACGTCACTGCTCTAGGTTTTATTAGTCATTGTCAGAGCGTTCTCTCCTCTCTCCTACAGCTTCTGCTGGCTGACACCAGGGAGCTGCATCATGTAACAGACTGGACAAGTCTGAAAATAGGTAAGTATCTGTAGAGCCCTCCTAATTAGGCTGCTAGGCAAATTCTGCTGTAATCACAGAAGTAGTGGCTGTTTGGTTTGGTCTGCTTGGAGCTTCACAGGCTGAGAGTTTGATTACTTCCCCCTGCCTCTAGAAGACATTTCTAGAGCTTAGGGCAGGAGAATTCAAATGTCCAGCCTGAATATTCAGCAGGGCCTAGCCAATCCCTGGGGAGGTGTTCCCAAACTGAGGCTGGAATGCTGTTAACCTCTTCCCATCTGGCCCATGTCGATAAACGGATGGACTGGAGTGCTGCCGATGCGGGTGGACATTTCTAAACATCCCCCCGCATCCATTGCCTGTGCGTACTCCTTGGGAATGAGCAGCATCACGATCAGTGCCCGATGTGTCTGAACACAGATCACTGTACAGGTCCTCTGTGTGAGGTCCCAATTCATGTGATCACTGATTGGCCAATCAGTAATCACATGAATAGTAGTAAACAAGATGTCACATCCTGACATCATTGCTTACTACTAGTGAAATCTGTGAATGATCACAGAGATCACATGGTACAGGGTTATTCACAACAGCCTTGTACCATGTGACAAGTTGTGACCAATCACAGCTCGCACAGTATTTCTCAATGGCTGCAGGAATGCAGCCATAGAGGAGGAGAAATTATTGCATTTACAGCCTTTATGGGTGTAAAAGCAATCAGTGTAAAAAAAGAAAAAAAAAATCTTCATCACCCCCCACAAGTAGTATAATGTCACTATGGTGACAATGTACTGCTAGGGTGACAGTATGTTAAAACAAAAAAAAAAAATATTAATATAAAAAAAATAAATAAAAATGTAAAAACATTTTTTGAAAAAATTATAATTTTTGGTTGGAAACTTTGGGTTATTAAAAAGATTCTAAAAACTAAAAAGATAGCTGAATACATTTTGGCCAAAATTTATGAAGAATGATTATTTTTTTGAAAAAATTTAGAAGAAAAACTTTTTTTTTTTTTAATTTTTGGACTTTTTCATTTATATAGCAAAAGTTTTACCTGTCTCCAAAAAATTCATATGGGTACAGTGTTGCATGACCGCACAATTGTCATTCAAAATGTGATGGCACTGAAAGCTGAAAATTAGCCTGGATTGGAAGGGGGTGAAAGTGTCCGGACTTGAAGTGGTTAAATAGTCTGGAGACCAGAAGAGATGATCTTTTTCCTCCTGTTGGGATGCAGCGAGCTGAGAGGAGAGGGGAGCCCTATGGACTGAATACTGGACTACTTTGCAAAAGTATGCATGCAACTTTGGACTGTCCATGTACTAGCATCCAGTGAGTAAAGCCTTTACCTGTGCTCATACTGCTTCTTGTTCCCTAGCCGTAAGCTGTGGACTGTTCCAATCTACCCAATGGTGTATTTAGGTTTTGTGCTGCCCTAGGCAGCACATAAATTGAACACCCCCCCCCCCCACACACGAGAGAGCCTTCCACTAACAACCCCCCCGGTAACTCTGGCCTTTCCCAGGAACAACAGCTGGGCTCTGCATACACCATCAAGCAGCCCACAGCCTCTCTCAGATCTCAACTGGGCCCTTCTTCTTATGCCCCCCTAAAAAATGCCGCCCTAGGCAAATGCCTTGTTTGCCTTGTGGTAAATACACTCCCGAATTTACCTACACTAGTGCTACTGCTTGCTAAGTAAGGAGCGTCCCCTACTAGTAGTACATTTTATTTTGAAGTATCTTGCATCACCCCAAATCCCCTACTGTGGTCTAAGCTGGAATTCCACTTTAAAACTGTTAGTTCTAGTTTTTTTCTCCTTATACAGTATTTAGCCTTTCCTGGTCCTCCCTGTGCTGCAAAGCAAATGTGAGAGCTGTGTTACATGCATCCGTTGGGGGCCATTCAATGAATGGCACCACAACAAGCTAATGCAGATAATGCGCATTAACATTTGGCATGGTGATGCGCTGATGACCATAACACACTGATTCATGAAGGTGTGCATGGGCCTCAGTACTCCTGATTACATAATTAGGCCCCACCCAGCAGTAATAAACTCCTCCCTCACAGGACTCCACCTGCTATAGAACACTGCATGAATGCAGATGGTGCATCCATTTCCAACAGTGGAATGAGACAAGTGATGGTCCTAGAGGTAAGGACACAGTATTCTCATCTTGGAAGAGGGACCATACCAAGAGACAAGATACACGTACACTTACCGTTTCATAGTAGATATAGGCCAGGACACCAGCAGCGAGTTCAGCTGCATAGACTGAAATAAGAATGACCAAATACTGAAAGAAGAAAATAAAGATAATACATTTTAGAATAAACTATGTTAAAGCTGAACTCATACCAGACACAATATTTCATTAGCTTGTTCTCCAAGAAGAAAAACACTTACCTTAGTCCTTGCCCCCCCGACAGCCGATGCTGTCCTTTTCTCCGGATATGTGTGCAGGCCCTTGATGTCTTCCCATACAATGCTGGGCCCCTGGACCTGCATTGTACGTGATGACTTCAGATTGGAGGGGCAGCTGCAGGACCAGTCATACAGTACAGCTGGGAGGAAGCATGCAACAGTGAGTAATAAGGTAAGTGTTCTTCTGCTTCATATTTTCAACCAACTAAACAAGCTTCCAGGGGGAGAGGGGCACAAACTATTTAAATTTTTATTAAACTCTCTTTTTTAAATATCTTAGAGGTGGAGATCTTGTGGTTTTGAACGTTCCTTTCCTCCTGTCTTGGGCAGTCCCAAAGCCTCTGTCCCAGCCTCCCTGACTGCAAATGTCTCCTTTGGCTGGGTGCTGAGGAGACACCTGCGCATGTGCACTCTTGTCTGGGACCGGAGTTAAGCTATGTGCATCTATAGATACACATCGCCCAGCAAAGCCATGCCCCTGCTCCGCCCTCCTCAATTCTCCTAGCAATTTGAATGACAACAGGAGCTTATTGCTTCTCTACCCTCAGTGTCTCCTGAAGGAAATTCAGGAAATGGCATTGATCTATCTTGTAGCCAGTTGCAGTGACAGTAGGTGAGAATAGGTGAGAATAGGGAGGTTACTTACCTTAATGCAGTCAGTGTTGATGGGGAAATCCCTCTAATTTAGCCATTGTACTCTGGCAGCGGGAGGTTTCCCCTGCGCTGAGAAAACAATGACCACTGCTGATAAATAAACCGGATATACTATATCAGCCACGAGCCAAATATTACCCTGTGACAGTAATAGGTGATTTAGGGGCGGACTGACCATTTGGCAACTCGGGCACTGCCCGAGGGCCCGGGGTCAGTAGGGGGCCCCATGAGATGCCCCTGGTACCTTTTTCGAATTTGGGCAAGGACACAGGGGCCCATGATCCCCTATTGCCCGGGGGGTCCCATGAGTTGTCAGTCCGGGTGAGTTTAATAGGCTGTGCCACCTGTCAAATGCAATATACCAAGTTAAATTTCCCATGAGCGTGAAGCAAAGCATTGTGACTGTAGCATGTGTATGACCCTCTCTGGCTACATGTTATGTTTCAGGTAGGAGGTCAAGGGCTGGGAAAAAACTATGGCTCAACCCTTACTGTCCCCTTGTCGCATGTTAAAACGAGGTCTAAGAAACTAGTTTTAAGAGTCCCATGAATGATTTTACTGGAACGGCACACTGTGTAACATCACTAATCACTAGATTAAGAATGTGAGCATAGCACCTTGTGTATACCGAATCACACAAATTCCTATACTGCTTGAATCAGCAAAACCTTGCTCAGTCATGCTCCCTTGCTAATATTTGAGAGCTGTGTTTTGGCTGAAAAGGGAGTGACTACCATTAGAAAAGCAGCTGTTGCATTTTGGTGATCTTGCCCTAACACTGGCCGTCCTTCCAGCCCAGCAATGGGCAAACTACGGCCCGCGGGCCGTATACGGCCCGGCGGACCTTTTAATCCGGCCCGCGGAGCTGGGCTCCCGCTAGGCTCCTCTCACAGTCCGCCCTGAAGACCGGTGTAGCATGAAAATCTGTCTCCTATGAGGATCTGTCCCCCTCAACGTATCTGCGCATGTGCCGGAGATCGCCGATCGGCTGCTAATGCCTGAAACTGGCACATGCGCAGATACGTCGAGGGGGACAGATCCTCATAGGAGACAGATTTTCATGCTACACCGGAACGGCGCGGGAATTACTATATGGGGGATGAATTACTATGGGGGATGAATTACTATGGGGGATGAATTACTATATGGGGAATGAATTACTATGGGGGATGAATTACTATATGGGGGATGAATTACTATGGGGGATGAATTACTATATGGGGGATGAATTACTATATGGGGGATGAATTACTATGGGGGATGAATTACTATATGGGGGATTAATTACTATGCTTACTATGGGGGAATATTACTATACTTACTATGGATGACACATACACATCATTCATCTACTCTTGGTCCGGCCCCCGGGTCCAATATATGAACCCATTGCGGCCCTCAAGTGAAAAAGTTTGCCCACCCCTGTTCCAGCCTGTCTCTCTTGCCTCTCTCCTGTAATATTTGTACATATTTTCAGACACTCCATCATAGGCATGTGCTGTACAGTGAATATCATTTTAGGGCTGCTCATAATGAATTAACAAAACAATTTAAAGTTATTGTTACCACCAAGTTACATTTACTGTTTACATGAAGTTCTTCACTTCTCACATCTTGCCTAATTAACAAAATTTAATTTCTACAAATTGACCAGACAATGAACGCTGGCTATAGGTATAACACCATTTCACAGTGCAGCATATCCTCGAAATCCATTGTTGAGCTGTATATTGTAATATCTACTTTTAATAAGACAGGGGTGAGTAAATGTACCCAGAGCCCCCTAATACCTAATATCTCTTTATTTTAGCTAAATTATCCTACGTTTTTCACATGCAGTAGGTGGAGGCCTCCTTGTATAAGGAATTATGGGTTGAAAAATTCTTCAACGGTTGGGAATGTTTCATTCAAACCTTGTCCATAGAAACTCAACAATCCATAATGCAATGCTTTCCTGATTTATCTTGGAAGAAAGTGCCACTTGATGCCCCATAGAGGTCTATATGTATCAAACAGAATCTAGACAACACAGTCCGTCTTAACAGCAGAAAATATACAAAATAGGAGCAGATGGGGGGTTGTTTGTGCATTAAACAAAGGGGAAAGGTGCATGCAGTATGTCTGAGAAAAAGACAACGTACTGTCAAACTGCTATCGTGACAGTTTCTTAGGGACAGTTTCCCCAAACTGAGTTTAGCCCACACCTTAGTTCATCCCCACTATGGGGAAATATTTTTAAATGAAATATTTTGTACCTGATGTTAAACTTTAAAGGACAATAAGATTGGACTCATATGAACAACCATATACTGTATTTGCATGATTCATCCAGATCTATTAATGGTAAATGAACAGATTGGATTTCTGCATATATTAATGCTGTGTGCAGAGAAGAGTTGTGTGTCTGGTGTCTTATAATGGGATGGAATTGCAGCGTTCTTGGTTAGAATGAGTGGGATCAGTCTGTGACAGTGGGACCTACCTTCAAAGAACCAGAGTCGGCTTATTGCAAAGGCACCTGCAGTGATAAAAGAGCCACTTGTGGTATATTTAGCTCTCTGTGAGCATAGTTAATCATAAAATTTAATTTTGCATAATCTAAGAGAAGAGAGCGGTACCCAGGCTGACAAAACAACATCAGAACGTACAATTATCACGTTAAATCAATTTTTTCCTCTGTATTATCTATTTTTTGTTGGAAATATATTTGATTGTACAGTAAATCACTGCTTTCAGAAATCACATTAAGGAAAAGAAAACCAGAATTAAATGATGGTTAATAGAAAGGAGAAATGAAAGAACCTCTCTCTGGGGAAATATGTAAATCACCCTTTAGTTCCCTAATGCTCTAATTTTTCAATTTTGTTATTATAAGTATTTGAATTCTGTTATTGCCACCAATCTCCAGCAAAAAGTTGTAGTCAGGTTTTCAGTCAGAGTACATGTTTCATTGATTGAAAATGTCTATTGAGTTAAATCAAAAAGACAAAAATAAACTAAATAAAAGCTGCATCCTCAGAACCCCAAACCTTCGGCTTATCCAGAGTAAGTCAATAAACCGCATACGCATTATCCAGTTTTCTCCACCACTCCTTTTTATAAAGCAAAAATGTCTTAAAATGTAGTTCATAGTAGCAAGATTGTCTACAAACCGTATCTCCCAGGAGGCAATGCTTTGACTTTGCTTGGTGGGGCAGCTTAATAAGTGTAAGTGGCTGTGTTCAGGGATGCTCTATGTTTCTGATAGATAGTATTGGACTCCCTTACTTATACAATCATGCTGTATTCATGTGGAGTTGAATAGATGGTGTTTTCTGTGTGTGACATCCCACCTTGTTCAATTAACAGTCATTTCCGGTGGGGAATGGTAAAAGCTAGTAATTGTGCCTAGTGAAGGAAGAACAAGAGTGAAGGCCTTTGTGACATCACAACTCAGATAATCTGGAATGCATCTTGAAGCTTGAATTTTTCAGAGTTGTAAGTACCACTGGTGATGCTGTTCTTGTCAGAAGCTTGCATTTCCAATGTGTCCAACATCAACATCAGCTACTGTGGACACTATGTGGTAGATACAAATTCTACTCATAACTGTGTGTAGTAATGCTAACAGCAGCAGGCAGTATGATGACACAACACCTGTAGTCCAGAAGAATATGCGAGGTGTGTCTTTGTTGACCAGGGACTTCATGAGACAACATGTCATCCACCAATGAAGTGGCATGGCGGCAGCAAGGGAATGGGCAATTGCATCAGTGAACAGCATTACATGACACCATCACCCTCCTGTTCCTAAGGCAACAGTGGTGAAAAAATGGAGCCATTTGATGACATAGGCACTGTTTTCTGCAACATTCTCCTTTGAGACAAGGGTGGTTTGATGATACACCCAAGGAGACATCCATAGTATGCAGGCTGCATGAGGCTGGGCATGATTAAACTTGGAAGAGGATCAGCGCTGGACCACAGAGGAGGCCATGTGAGACAAGGCATGGGGCAGCACTGGAGCATGGGTAGGATAAATACTACTTACACAGGGCCAAGTGGCTAAAAAAACTAGGCTTCATATTTATTTTTTTTTTCTTTCTTCTATTTCTTTTTTTTTACCAAATATCAGCGCTAAAAAATAAGAACAAGCAAGTGTACAATTTTATGTTCTGTCTCAAATCTTCCTTTAATAAAGGAACCATA